TTTTGAACTACTTAAATAATTAAATGCAATACATTATTAGAATGATTTGGATTAATTAGTTTTTTTTATGCTTGAAATATGACAATATTATAATATGTACTATTTGAATTAAAATGTAACAATATAAACTTCTTTTTGCGGTGTTTTGTGAACCTAAAAAATTTCCCCGAAAATTTAACCCCCCCCTAACTTTTTATCCTGGATCCACCCCTGATTAGTACTGAACAAAAAATTGGATATACACAATCGTCAACATTACTATACATCAGAAAAAACACATAGTTTATATATAACTATATATTACTACATGTTACGACACGTCACTATATATGACTATATGTATATCACCACATGTGACTATATATGACTACATGTATATGACCACATGGGACTATATGTGACTACATGTATATGATACCACATGAGACTATATGAGTATAGTCATATATAGTGTAGTTTGTGGTATATAGCTTCAGATCCCACTTTTCAATACGACAATAACTCCGATTTATTAGTTGCAAAAAAAATAATTTGATTTGACGAACACCATGTCCTCTCCATATAAAAACTTAGTACATAGAAGTTGTTCAAACACCGAGACCTGTGACAAAAAATCAACAATTATCATTAACTGCAATAACACAATCAAATTCGAATACATAAATTATCATTAATATACTTTCAAACGTACAAATAAAAAATCACTTCCCTTTACAAGTCCATGTTCACATAATAATCCTCTACAGTAACACTTTGCGCTACATTCCTCAAATTTTCTGTAGTTTTTTCATAACTACATTTTTCACTGCCCATATATATATATTTATATATATTAAAAAAAATGCAAACTTCTACCGATTATCGATATAACATCATCAAGCTTATCTCTCTCTTTTAAAAAAAATAAAATTAAAACCTCAATATTTATCGAGAAACAAAAAGAGTGGCACATGGGATAAACAAGGTTGTGAACAGATAAAACTTTTGGTAATTCCATTGACCTATGTATCCGAATTTGTTTTGACCAAACATAAAAAAATTGTTAAGCAAACGATAAGGATTTAATGAAAATTTGGAAAAATAAAATTGGAATAGGCGGAAATCGGATATTTTGTTACAATTTCCACCCCTAATTGTAAATAACCACTCCAAGTTATATATATATATATATATATATATATATATATATATATATATATATATATATATATATATATATATATATATATAGAGCTATTTTACTCTATATATTTCAACATTTCCAGACAATTTTACGTGAGAAATTTTGGTATATATATTTTTTTCGCCAAAACATCTAATTGCTTAGATTTTTTTTAATTTTCTTAATAAAACATTTTATTTTTGTCATTTTGAGTTTCTTCATTTTTTATTCTTAAATGTCTTCCGGTAGTTCAACCATCTTAAGATTACAAACATCTTTACAATCCTATTACTGTTGAGAATTTGAACTACCGGAAGACATTTAAGAAAAAAAAATGAAGAAATTCAAAATGACAAAAATAAAAGGTTTTATTCATAAAATTAAATAAAGTAAATCTAAGTAATTAAATGTTTTGAAAAAGAAAAGAAAAATATTAAAATTTCCCAAGTAAAATTGATCGAATATGTTAAAAAATATAGTGGAAAATGGCTCAAACAAACCCTTACTTATAGTAATAAGCTTAGCAGGGGTGTTTTCATCAAATTTTGGAAAAAATATAACAACAGGGGGTTTTTGTATTTATTTGTAGTACATGAGGTATATGATTGGTGTTTTTGTATTTACCCCTAATTTTTATTTGTACATTTTTTTAAATATCAAAACTTCCAAATAAATTCTGAAATTTTTTACTAAATATTTGAAATTTGTTCCTGCAGTAAAGTTTTTTTGGAATTTCCAAAAGTTTGGAATTGGAACCGCAAGTGTTGATTCATTTTTTAACAAAATAAATAGATTTTTTTTATCTAAATGGTCCGATCTATTTCATCCGACTTTCTGGAGGAGAATGGTAAAATCATAAAGTTCACTTTTGACCCCGAATTCATTAGCCATACAACAAACAACCCCTTAAACTTCAAATCGTACACTTTTGCCCAGATTGACAAAACTAATTCCAATTTCAATTTTAATATTTTCGGAATCTAGTCATTCCAATTCCAAAAGCTATGGAAATTTCATAATTCCAGAAATCACATGAGTTAACATTTTAAAAAGTTTCGAAAACTTTCCTAAAGTTTCAAAAATAAGGATACCCACTTTCATGAAATCATAAAACTATGTATTCAAAAAAAAGAAAAAAAAAATTATAAAACTATAACTGCTCATATGATAAATTCTAATATTTAAAAAATAGCAATAACGATTCCATTTGCACTATCCACCTATTTTCAAATAGGGGTAATATGGCTCACACCCCTCAAACCAAACATAATTAAATATGAGTGACAATCTCAAATAGAATATTTTAACTATATCTCTATTTTAAAATAAAAATTGACACACATTCTTTATTTTTTATTTAACCCAAAAATACCCTTACAATAATAAAAAACCCTCTCTCTCTCCCCCACTCTACGCCGCTCAGCACCCCCTCTCCTCTCACTTTCCCGTTTTCTCCCCTCCCTCTCTCTCTCTCTCATATGTGCGTCTCCAAGCCCCATCCTTTTTTATTCTTTTTTCTTTTGACATATTTATATTTAATAAATAATTAAATCCAACTCTCTCTCTCTCTCTCTCTCTCTCTCTCTCTCTCTCTCTCTCTCTCTCTCTCTCTCTCTCTCTCTCTCTCTCTCTCTCTCTCTCTCTCATATGTCGTTCCCAACCCCCTACTTTTTTTTTTCTTTTAACAGATTTGTATTTAATAAATGATTAAATCCAATTGTAGTGGCGGTGTTTATGGTAGGTGGCGACGTGTCACGGACTTGTTCCCTTAACAAAGAACCGTGCGGCCTTAGCTCCTTCTCGCTCCTCGCGATAGCTAAGTCAGCCTCTCCCGAATTGTGTTGCGAATACTTAAGTGATGTAAACGAAGAAAGATAGTAAGAAGACAAGAGAGTTGGTAGAAGAGTACTTTATTGGATTCGTTGTTGAATGAATACAAATGAGGATCCTACCTCTATTTATACAAGACCACCTCCTCAATGGACGGTGGAGATCGATATGATCTAATGGTTGGGAGTGAAACAATCCCTTAAATGTCTCTACATACCACCACCTACCTCTACCTACCAAAAATGACCCTACCTACCACTATACAATTGGGCCAACTTGGGCCTAACCCTACTTGGGCTACAACTTGGACTCTTTATAACCTCCCCAACCCAAGGGAAATCGGCAAGGGGTTGGGTCAAAACTGGCGGGCCGTGACATCCTCCCCCGCCTAATCCGGTGACGTTCTCGTTGCCTCGAACAAGTGGAGACGATCTCGAAATCGCCACAAGTCTTCCTTCGTCTCCCACGTTGCCTCGGACTCGGGTAATCCCTTCCAGGAGGCTCCGGTAACCCTGCCGGCTGTTTATTCTCCACCTTGTCTTGTTGGCAAACAAGACAAGTCTTCACACATTCATCGACACCGTCCCGCATGTGAGGCCAAAAGTAGGCCGTCTCGAGCAACGCCATTGTCCTCCTTTGGCCCGGATGCCCCGCCCACTGGGTGTCGTGGCATTCCTTTATGAGGTCCTTCCTCAAGCTGCCCCACTTCGGAACGAAGAGTCGCTTCCCCTTCGTGTAGAGTAGGCCGTCCTCTACCCAAAATTTTCTCGTCTTGCCCTCCTTGACGAGTTGAATTAGCTCCTTGGTCATTGGATCATGTTCGAGCCCTTCTCGGATCATGTCGGCCAAGTTCC